CGACAACTGAGGTGTTACCTTAATTTTCTAGTAAAATTTTTACTATAATAAATAAAATGGTAAATGAACAACCGCCTAGAGTAGTCTATTTTGCGTCATACTGGGATAAGTGGTTGTTGATGATAACAACTGGATTTTGCAGTATGTCACCTTTGATAGGGTGGATAACATTATAGCTTGATCAACAGTAATATCATAGTTTACTTGCCAATCCTAACCACACCTGCTCTAGTGTTCCACCCCTCCTAGAGCTTGCACACAGCATTGGCTTACTGAAGCATAGGGCATCTTAGTTTACTTGTTATTGACAAATAATGATGAGCCAAATTGAAACTTGCTTCTGCTGGTCAATGATTCAGTTCTGTTTAAACCTTTTTCCTAGTTGGAGGCCTCATGTTATAACACAAAATAATGAATTTTAAGGGAACTAAAAAATTGTACATTATCAAAACCTGTGAGCAGATATTGTACTTTAACTCTATAAAGCACCACATTCAGTTTCAATACAACTGCAGAGGGTGGGGATTGGGGGTGGGGCACTACCCTCCAAAAATCATTTCAGATTCACCCCACGGTATGCTTCTTGCCTTGCCAAATTTTGACCAAACTATGTGATTTTCAATATCCTATTTCAGGCCTGATCCAAAGTTCTATCCCCAATTTCAAATCTTGCAGGTCTTGCACTCCAGTCTCAAAACATGCTGAGAGCAGCTACCCAAGAAAATTCTTTTGGGTTGTGTGTTACTGAAAGCCGTTACTTCTTAATGGGGGGATCTCTTAAAGCATACAGTCTATATACAGTGTATATATCACTCTACTTTTTGACTGTTCCAGATAAGAAAGTACAGCTATATAGCTTATGATCACCCATTCTAGGTATTCAGATAGTGAGAAGCAGAGCATTAAAAAAGCAGGGTTTTTTTAGTTTTGTTCTCTTTGCACCTTCCCCAATACCTGAATGTCTGGCACAGGCATAAACTACTGCTTTTAAGCCTTCCCCACAACTTATAAGCCCCCCAGTTATAGGCCCTGATTTACCAGTGAACAAGAAAAAATGTCCCCCTGCTTCTAAGCCCTCCCCAAGAAAAAAAAAAACGTTCAAACCCCTTACAAAGATGTGTAACCCATGAGCTCATAAGTGATACTTAAACAGGTTTCTCTCTAGATGCATTTACATGATTACCATCACTTCCTACTAAACTAGTGTCCGGTAGTAACCGGTAATCAAGGGCGCTTTCCATTTAGTCAAAATTTCCGGAATTTCCGGTTCGGCGGTAAATGGAACACGTTTTGTCGGTTAGTCCCACTGGAAAATCTCAAAGAGGTCAAAGGGTCTGGGTCATCTGGGTCATTTGTTCCGCTAAAAGGGTTTATCCTCCCTAAAGATTTCAGGTATCATCTCCTAGCTAAAAATCATCATCAGACAGTACCTCAAAGAGAGAGTTTTCAATAATTTTGCTGTAAGGCTCAGAAAATCATTAATACCTGAAAAATGTTGATTGTGTAGTGACCAATCACCATAATTTTCAGTACACATGAACGACCAAACCTCAAAACCACAAAGTAATTACCATTGCTGTTTGAGGTTTTGTTTTCTCACCCCTTATTAGCTTTTTCTTTGATCTTCTCATATCTGAAGATCGCACTATCCGTGGAAATTCAAAATCCTGCAAACCACACTATAGACTGGGCCCAGAGTCATACTGACATGGCAAGAAATAATCACATTCACGGACAAAGAAACTTGCATGCATGCATGTAGTTATATTCAGATACAGCCATTTCGGAGAAAACCAAAAAACTAAAATCTTTATTCAGCCGTAATAAACAGAGGTCAAAGGATATAAAACACTTTACAACTGCATCTGAAATCAAATCCTATCAGGGACACCTACCGAAGCATAAACCACAGGAAATGATTACTCAGTATGCATGTAACAAACCTGCTTCATGACCTCTAAATATAAGATTTAGTGCGGCAAAAACAAGATTTACCCAGTCAAAGTTTAGAATGCTACACCTCTTGCACTGTGCAGTGCTAGTAACCTTCGCGCGAGAGAAAAGAGAAAGAGAACCACTGTTCAAGCAGACTCTCAAGGTCACGTTTCACATTATCACGAGCTTATGAGTCGTGTTTGGCCTGTCAACGCTTATTTCTTACTGTGATATTTTTAGACAGTGCTCCGTCATAACTCGTGGGAAGAAATCTCACTCGGGCTACTGATTTGGCCGGAGAAAGTTACGAGAAAATATCTCGAATCTCCTGAGAAAGACACTTACACGCACTAGGACATGTCAGTGACCTGCCATCACTGCAACCTAGTCAGATACTATCTTACCGGTTCAGCCCCCAAAAAGCATTTTTCACCTTGAAGGAAGCACAACAGAACGCGGATCAAAGATAAACCTACGCTATTGGTCACTTTTGCAGCCAATGGCAAGTTAGTATTTTCGATCCTAGCCACCAGTATTTAAACAGTCTGCTTCGCTCTCTGTACCTAAGACTTTACCATAGTAGCAACTGACGAGGAACGCTATAGTTCCGAAACTGCAGTCTTGCTTAAGAATCCATAGCAGTCGCACAGACGACTGTTAAGCAAAAACTTAAGAAAATACCTACGAAGGAACAACAAGACATCGCGCTCTAGTTCAAAGACTCACTTATGTTAAGAAAAACTAAATGGACTGTGTGAGCGCTAAGAGAATTATCTTGAATGACGCACGGCATATTTCTCCAAACTTGGTGTAGCTTTAGTTTTTAAGCTACAGTGTACAACTCATATCTGAAGATCGCACTATCCGTGGAAATTCAAAATCCTGCAAACCACACTATAGAGCTGGGCTCAGAGTCATACTGACATGGCAAGAAATAATCACATTCACGGACAAAGAAACTTGCATGCATGCATGTAGTTATTCAGATACAGCCATTTCGGAGAAAACCAAAAAAACTAAAATCTTTATTCAGCCGTAATAAACAGAGGTCAAACGATATAAAACACTTTACAACTGCGTCTGAAATCAAATCCTATCAGGGACACCTACCGAAGCATAAACCACAGGAAATGATTACTCAGTATGCATGTAACAAACCTGCTTCATGACCTCTAAATATAAGATTTAGTGCGGCAAAAACAAGATTTACCCAGTCAAAGTTTAGAATGCTACACCTCTTGCACTGTGTAGTGCTAGTAACCTTCGTGCGAGAGAAAAAAGAAAGAGAACCACTGTTCAAGCAGACTCTAAAGGTCACGTTTCACATTATCACGAGCTTATGAGTCGTGTTTGGCCTGTCAACGCTTATTTCTTACTTTAAAATAGTATAGCAAATTAAAATATGTTTTTTAAAACTGTTTTTATCCTGTTTTTATTCCGATTTATAAGGTATTTAAAAACTGTTTTAGACCTGTTTTGAGCCTTTCAAAAGCCCTGGGATTTTTTTATATTTTAAACGAATTTTAAAATACTTTAAAAATTGCTTTTTAATAGCATTTTAAACAGGTTAAAACACCTTTAAAAGCAGTCGAAAAGTACATTAAAAATACACTTTTCACCCTATTTAAAACCTATTTCACAAAACAGGTTAAAAACAGTTTTCAAAAATAGCTTAAAAATACATTCAAAACAGTGTTGGATTTGGTAAGGGAATCTATTGTCTTGGAAGAAAAAACAGATGACGCTCGCGCGTGCGCATAATCGGGACACTGTCCCTTTAACCTCTTATATTTCCCTTTATAAGGAACCACTTTTCAGCGGACACCTCTATTACGCGGACGCTGCAATTAAGATAAATTGTATCTGGCTAATTTCTATTGTTAAATTAAAGCCTCTATTAAGCGGACACCGGACTGAAATGACAACAGTAGTTTTGAATTGCGTCCATGAAAGACGTCCTATAGTCGATTGATAAAGATAAATCAATACATATAGGTCTGAATAAACTGCCGATTACACCGATATCCGGCCGTATGATTTAGATGATTTAGCGACTAAAGGTTCAAAAAGTTCACCTAAAAGTTTTACACTAAGAACAGCACAGCTTCCTTAGCCCGTACACCTCGAGGGCCCTTCCGAGTGTCCGCTTAATCAGTAGAGGGTGTCCGCTTAATAAAGGTTTGTAAAAATTGCGCAATGTTTGTTATCGATTAACATTCAACGCTTACTCTGTACTGTGATAAAGTTCCATGTTATTTTATTCCGCTTAATCACAGTAGAATAAGAAAACACGTTAACATAGACACCAAAAGTTGCCTAAAGGAAGAAAGGTTTATTTATACTGGGCAGCATGCAAAAGGACAGCATAAAAAAAGGAATTAAATGTTGTTGCCTGGTAATCTGCATATAAGATAAGATAAGATCTCGATATAATTGATAAAAAGGCCTTCACTTTAGCGTGACGCAAGTATTACAGCTTTTTTGTTATGACCCCAGTATGAGGTCTCTTATCCGGCGACTGTTTAGCATGAAGACTATAGACAGAATAGTAAATGTCAACTGATGCGTAAGATACTTCACGTCTAGTTTGCGTAGCAGGCTTCAGTTAGGTTTTTGGCCCGCGGGCGTCCTCGAAGTTTTTCCCTTCGTCCCACTAAAAAAGACCGGCGCCCGCTACACAAACTACTTCAAGTCTTTCCGCAGGTTCTATGTTTCCTTGAAAATGGTCAGGTCGAGAGCTTTCGTAGAAGAGTACGAAACTTGATAGAGCAATGACCTGACACGACATCAACGGTATTAATCTAGACTATTTACATCAAATGGGACCATTGTAAAGTAAACATCGCAAACAACTTTAGACATGAACCAATCACAAAGTGTTTCACTTGATTAACAGGAAATTAATTATGAGATCTGTTTTCACTGACTTACACAATTAACTGTAAAACCAAAGACCCTAACACTATAGTTAGCGAAGCATTGGAAGCATTAACTTTTGTTTACACGTTTTCATCAGGCTAGCTGAATTAACAACTGCCACTTTGCGCAGGTTCTTATGATTACGAATGGGAGGAACAAACAGATCATTGCTTATCATAAATAAGTCAAGCGAGGCTCATCTCAAACTCAAGCTCTATGTCTCATGTGATCCAGTCTGCTTCATGCCGCACACAACAAAGGAAATCAAGCCAAATGATAAGTTCTTTTACACCAGCGAGTGGGGGTCCAAGCTCGAGTTAGCTGCAGTGTTTAAAGATAAAAAGCAACCAAAAAAGCTTCTCTTAAAACCGCAGCAGTGGGTTGGAAGAAAATATGTAAGGATCACGGAATCTCTAGACGTAATTGAGGATGATCTTGCTAATTATCCAGAAGAAGAAAAAAAGGGCCGCCAAAAAATGAACAGAGATAATGAGCTAGAATTTACTGATGGGAAACGCAATTTTTACAGCATCTTAGGGCTAGATATGGGCGAAGTTCGTGCCATGTCGAAAGATGAACAAGATGAAGAAATAGCGACAGCCTTCCTTAGGCAAATACAAATATGGCACTCTAATTTCAATGAAGATGGTGATGATGAAATTGCCCGTGAAGTGATGATGGCGTACGATGTTTTACAAGATCGAGAGAAGCGCGCACGGTACAACAATTTGGCTGACTATGACAAGGGGTGGCTGGCGGGGAAACGATTCAAAGCTGTGTTTTGGCCCGAGTGCGAGACAGTGGCTCAGCGACTAACATGGTTGAAAAGAATGGGTCTGCTTGCTTTATCAGCCGGGCTTACAATTGGAGGCATCGTATCGATCGTTCTTACCGCCGGTTTCTCATCTCCTTTGGTACTATGCGCTGTCGCAGGAGGATTGCACTCGTTACGCCAGACTGTTCGCAAGGAAGCAGTCGTAGATGGGTGTGATGTTGAAAAATGGCTTATGTCAACAGGGGTTGGATATCTTCTTGCTTTCCTTCCCGGTGGAGCAGCCATTGCAACAGCTGTCTTGCAGACTGCAGCGATCTCAGTGGCTGAGCTGACTGCAATTAGAATGGCCATTTCTGCTGGATGTGCAATTGTATCTTCTCTTGGCACCGATGCAAAAAAAAGATTCATTGACGGAGAGAAAATCACAGTGAGGCAGGCTCTCGGTCATGCAGCTTGTCAATGTGCTGCAGCTGTTGCAGCAACGCTTGCAGGTGGGGCTGTTGCTAAAGCTATGCTTAAACATAGCCCAGACACTACGCCATCAACAGCTGATCTCGAGAGTTTAGTTCAAGAAACTGGTGAAAGAGCTTCGTCACATCCTGCCAAACTTCAGCAAGCTGTTAGCGAAGTTGGAGTCAAGAGTTCTTCTATGCCTACAAATCTGACGGGAGCTGTTAACGAAATTGGTATGCATGATTCGTCCGTAACTGAACAAGCAAGGCGTTTGTTCCAGCGCATTCCAGCACCATTGACCGAGGCAGTTACGAGAGCTGCGATTGAGAAAGTTGGCGAGTTTGCTGAGAAGCACTCAAACGATTCTCAATTTCCAGACAAAATTACCTCTCTACCAGATCAAGTTGCGATTCAAAAGGCTGTCGAGGTTTTAGTTGCTTCGAAAAAGATAAGCTCTGAAGACAACAATCTAGTTGGCTTAGAGAAATCCGAAAAATTGGTTGAAACACATGGCATTTTTAAACGCCAAAATAAAACAAAACACAGAGTATTGAGGTACAAATCCAACGGTTGGTGGTATAACGGATTATCCAAAATGGTTGTGAGCTACATTCTAAATGGCAGCAGACGCTCAGAAGAGGTGAGAGGAAATTACAAGATAATTATAATCCCTCCCCTTGCAAAGAGTATTGAAGTGCATTTCGAGGTATGGCGGCCTTCCTGGGGTTTTGTTCTCAAGTACGATCGCTTCGAAAGATGCTGGTGCAAGCCTAGTGAGCCACACGTATTCCACTACCCAACACCAGTAACTCGCACTTTTACCATCGACGGTACCCTGTGGAGGGAAGCGGTGATAAGAGTAACAGACGAACATCACAACGAAACAAAAGAATTATAGTGAGATTACTCCATCTAAAGGCTGCTGCGCCAGTTTTCAATTCAGTAAAAGGCAGGACTATAAACTATACAAACGTTACAATGATACTATCATCCTGGTATTGAGGATCAGGACTTGAAATGAACGTAAACTAAACTTAAAGAACACCATCACAATAACAAGTTAAGAGACAAAATGGGGAAGGGCAGTATGACGGCCTGAGCATGATAGATGGCTGAGAAAGCGCTTTTCCTCTTAGAAAAGAAAGGAATGGCGAATATTATTCGTGATTTCATGATAGCAAAAAGAAGGAACGTACTAGACATAACTAGATAGAGAGACAAAGGAACTTGCATGCATGCATGTAGTTATTCAGATACAGCCATTTCGGAGAAAACCAAAAAAACTAAAATCTTTATTCAGCCGTAATAAACAGAGGTCAAAGGATATAAAACACTTTACAACCGCATCTGAAATCAAATCCTATCAGGGACACCTACCGAAGCATAAACCACAGGAAATGATTACTCAGTATGCATGTAACAAACCTGCTTCAAGACCTCTAAATATAAGATTTAGTGCGGCAAAAACAAGATTTACTCAGTCAAAGTTTAGAATGCTACACCTCTTGCACTGTGTAGTGCTAGTAACCTTCGCGCGAGAGAAAAAAGAAAGAGAACCACTGTTCAAGCAGACTCTAAAGGTCACGTTTCACATTATCACGAGCTTATGAGTCGTGTTTGGCCTGTCAACGCTTATTTCTTACTTTAAAATAGTATAGCAAATTAAAATATGTTTTTAAAACTGTTTTTATCCTGTTTTTATTCCGATTTATAAGGTATTTAAAAACTGTTTTAGACCTGTTTTGAGCCTTTCAAAAGCCCTGGGATTTTTTTATATTTTAAACGAATTTTAAAATACTTTAAAAATTGTTTTTTAATAGCATTTTAAACAGGTTAAAACACCTTTAAAAGCAGTCGAAAAATACATTAAAAATACACTTTTCACCCTATTTAAAACCTATTTCACAAAACAGGTTACAAACAGTTTTCAAAAGTAGCTTAAAAATACATTCAAAACAGTGTTGGATTTGGTAAGGGGATCTATTGTCTTTTGAAGAAAAAACAGATGACGCTCGCGCGTGCGCATAATCGGGACACTGTCCCTTTAACCTCTTATATTTCCCTTTATAAGGAACCACTTTTCAGCGGACACCTCTATTACGCGGACGCTGCAATTAAGATAAATTGTATCTGGCTAATTTCTATTGTTAAAAGCCTCTATTAAGCGGACACCGGACTGAAATGACAACAGTAGTTTTGAATTGCGTCCATGAAAGACGTCCTATAGTCGATTGATAAAGATAAATCAATACATATAGGTCTGAATAAACTGCCGATTACACCGATATCCGGCCGTATGATTTAGATGATTTAGCGACTAAAGGTTCAAAAAGTTCACCTAAAAGTTTTACACTAAGAACAGCACAGCTTCCTTAGCTTTCTTATAACATGGAACTTTATCACAGTACAGAGTAAGCGTTGAATGTTAATCGATAACAAACATTGCGCAATTTTTACAAACCTTTATTAAGCGGACACCCTCTACTGATTAAGCGGACACTCGGAAGGGCCCTCAAGGTGTACGCTTATTCCGCTTAATCACAGTAGAATAAGAAAACACGTTAACATAGACACCAAAAGTTGCCTAAAGGAAGAAAGGTTTATTTATACTGGGCAGCATGCAAAAGGACAGCATAAAAAAAGGAATTAAATGTTGTTGCCTGGTAATCTGCATATAAGATAAGATAAGATCTCGATATAATTGATAAAAAGGCCTTCACTTTAGCGTGACGCAAGTATTACAGCTTTTTTGTTATGACCCCAGTATGAGGTCTCTTATCCGGCGACTGTTTAGCATGAAGACTATAGACAGAATAGTAAATGTCAACTGATGCGTAAGATACTTCACGTCTAGTTTGCGTAGCAGGCTTCAGTTAGGTTTTTGGCCCGCGGGCGTCCTCGAAGTTTTTCCCTTCGTCCCACTAAAAAAGACCGGCGCCCGCTACACAAACTACTTCAAGTCTTTCCGCAGGTTCTATGTTTCCTTGAAAATGGTCAGGTCGAGAGCTTTCGTAGAAGAGTACGAAACTTGATAGAGCAATGACCTGACACGACATTAACGGTATTAATCTAGACTATTTACATCAAATGGGACCATTGTAAAGTAAACATCGCAAACAACTTTAGACATGAACCAATCACAAAGTGTTTCACTTGATTAACAGGAAATTAATTATGAGATCTGTTTTCACTGACTTACACAATTAACTGTAAAACCAAAGACCCTAACACTATAGTTAGCGAAGCATTGGAAGCATTAACTTTTGTTTACACGTTTTCATCAGGCTAGCTGAATTAACAACTGCCACTTTGCGCAGGTTCTTATGATTACGAATGGGAGGAACAAACAGATCATTGCTTATCATAAATAAGTCAAGCGAGGCTCATCTCAAACTCAAGCTCTATGTCTCATGTGATCCAGTCTGCTTCATGCCGCACACAACAAAGGAAATCAAGCCAAATGATAAGTTCTTTTACACCAGCGAGTGGGGGTCCAAGCTCGAGTTAGCTGCAGTGTTTAAAGATAAAAAGCAACCAAAAAAGCTTCTCTTAAAACCGCAGCAGTGGGTTGGAAGAAAATATGTAAGGATCACGGAATCTCTAGACGTAATTGAGGATGATCTTGCTAATTATCCAGAAGAAGAAAAAAAAAGGGCCGCCAAAAATGAACAGAGATAATGAGCTAGAATTTACTGATGGGAAACGCAATTTTACAGCATCTTAGGGCTAGATATGGGCGAAGTTCGTGCCATGTCGAAAGATGAACAAGATGAAGAAATAGCGACAGCCTTCCTTAGGCAAATACAAATATGGCACTCTAATTTCAATGAAGATGGTGATGATGAAATTGCCCGTGAAGTGATGATGGCGTACGATGTTTTACAAGATCGAGAGAAGCGCGCACGGTACAACAATTTGGCTGACTATGACAAGGGGTGGCTGGCGGGGAAACGATTCAAAGCTGTGTTTTGGCCCGAGTGCGAGACAGTGGCTCAGCGACTAACATGGTTGAAAAGAATGGGTCTGCTTGCTTTATCAGCCGGGCTTACAATTGGAGGCATCGTATCGATCGTTCTTACCGCCGGTTTCTCATCTCCTTTGGTACTATGCGCTGTCGCAGGAGGATTGCACTCGTTACGCCAGACTGTTCGCAAGGAAGCAGTCGTAGATGGGTGTGATGTTGAAAAATGGCTTATGTCAACAGGGGTTGGATATCTTCTTGCTTTCCTTCCCGGTGGAGCAGCCATTGGAACAGCTGTCTTGGCAGACTGCAGCGATCTCAGTGGCTGAGCTGACTGCAATTAGAATGGCCATTTCTGCTGGATGTGCAATTGTATCTTCTCTTGGCACCGATGCAAAAAAAAGATTCATTGACGGAGAGAAAATCACAGTGAGGCAGGCTCTCGGTCATGCAGCTTGTCAATGTGCTGCAGCTGTTGCAGCAACGCTTGCAGGTGGGGCTGTTGCTAAAGCTATGCTTAAACATAGCCCAGACACTACGCCATCAACAGCTGATCTCGAGAGTTTAGTTCAAGAAACTGGTGAAAGAGCTTCGTCACATCCTGCCAAACTTCAGCAAGCTGTTAGCGAAGTTGGAGTCAAGAGTTCTTCTATGCCTACAAATCTGACGGGAGCTGTTAACGAAATTGGTATGCATGATTCGTCCGTAACTGAACAAGCAAGGCGTTTGTTCCAGCGCATTCCAGCACCATTGACCGAGGCAGTTACGAGAGCTGCGATTGAGAAAGTTGGCGAGTTTGCTGAGAAGCACTCAAACGATTCTCAATTTCCAGACAAAATTACCTCTCTACCAGACCAAGTTGCGATTCAAAAGGCTGTCGAGGTTTTAGTTGCTTCGAAAAAGATAAGCTCTGAAGACAACAATCTAGTTGGCTTAGAGAAATCCGAAAAAATTGGTTGAAACACATGGCATTTTTAAACGCCAAAAATAAAACAAAACACAGAGTATTGAGGTACAAACCAACGGTTGGTGGTATAACGGATTATCCAAAATGGTTGTGAGCTACATTCTAAATGGCAGCAGACGCTCAGAAGAGGTGAGAGGAAATTACAAGATAATTATAATCCCTCCCCTTGCAAAGAGTATTGAAGTGCATTTCGAGGTATGGCGGCCTTCCTGGGGTTTTGTTCTCAAGTATGATCGCTTCGAAAGATGCTGGTGCAAGCCTAGTGAGCCACACGTATTCCACTACCCAACACCAGTAACTCGCACTTTTACCATCGACGGTACCCTGTGGAGGGAAGCGGTGATAAGAGTAACAGACGAACATCACAACGAAACAAAAGAATTATAGTGAGGTTACTCCATCTAAAGCCTGCTCCGCCAGTTTTCAATTCAGTAAAAGGCAGGACTATAAACTATACAAACGTTACAATGATACTATCATCCTGGTATTGAGGATCAGGACTTGAAATGAACGTAAACTAAACTTAAAGAACACCATCACAATAACAAGTTAAGAGACAAAATGGGGAAGGGCAGTATGACGGCCTGAGCATGATAGATGGCTGAGAAAGCGCTTTTCCTCTTAGAAAAGAAAGGAATGGCGAATATTATTCGTGATTTCATGATAGCAAAAAGAAGGAACGTACTAGACATAACTAGATAGAGAGTTTCTCTTTTAGCTTCTTTTTGTGCTTGTCGTTAAAACAGCAATGCGTTATTGTATTTAAAAGCCTTCTTTTACTTTGTTGATATTACGAAGTTTCATGAAATTCCGGGGAGAAAAGCAAACACAAATCCCAGAATATGTATAAATTTTGCCAAGTGGTTACTAGCGCTGATCAGTATTAGTTGCAGTAATTACTGACTACATACAAAGGTGAAAATAGATTTAAAGGTCAAAGATGAAATCACCCTGTTTCCCGGAAGAATTCGAAAAAATCATTAGGCAATTGTCATGATGCATGCAATCTCAACACTTCCTTAAAGAAGGATATTATGGTTGAGAAAGCCTTCACCAGAGAAGCTTCAAAATATTAGAAAAGGAGAGGCCTACGATTACATTGTTAATCATTTCCACTCCATCTTTACGTGGACATATATGATAATCCTCCAGTTAGTAAAAATACAGCTCAATCTTCAAATCAATCTCTCTTCATCAGTTAGTCAAGTGAGGGGTTTAAGGTTTAGCTGAGTTTCGGAGCCCCACAGCCTTCTCCCGGATCCGCCAATGTCAAAATAATTTGGCGAAGCAATAACGCCTGTTCTGCAGGCTAATTGATTACTCCAGAAATACCATAACATACCATAATGCTCCTTGTTGGTCACCCCAAAATTTTGCATAAGCATTATCTTCAGTTTCTCTTGGGAGTTAAAATGGCCCCAAGAAAACTGAAAACGATGCATATGCATATGCATATATGGTATGATATGGTGTTTTCTGGAGTGGTCAATTGCATATGGCCAACCTTCTATCAAAGGTACCTGCTTCTGGTGGATCTTTCTAAAAATTGTTTCGTAAGGAGACAATAAAGGCTGACTTTACAGCCAGGCTGTGTTTTAGCGATGGATATTATCGTCCGGTCCATATATTGTTTTTAGCAAAACAGACGAAAATTACACGGAAAAAACTGTGAGACAATTGTTAACTAAAATGGGTCAGCAGTTAAGATCAATCACATTTGTTGACTCATCAATTTCCTCTTGTAGATCCTAGGAAAGGGCACCCCCATAATGAAAGGTACAAGAATGCTCGTCTTTCTTGATAAGAGCGTAATTGTAGACTTTTGGATAGGTGTTCAGGACGGAAGGCAAATATTTGTACTCTTTTAATATAGAAGAATATAGAAGACAACATCCAGATAAATCAGCTCCACACACTACTGCTTTAAGCTATCTTGAAAATTACTTGATTTTGAGAAGTTTCAATTTTATGTCTTAATTTTTAACAGCTGTCATTCATATGTTCGGTACTATTCAATATTACTCGGATGGGAAAAAAACCGTGGTGTACACTTTGTGTTCATTTGAATAATCATATATAGGCCGACCTACATGAACTGCATGAAATGGGAAGTAAGGTCAAATCAACAATTGCTTCATTAGATAATAACAAAAAAAAGATAACAGAAATCCCATTGACGTCTCACCTAACACGTTTATTGTAAAATATCACTGGAGAAGCACCGACCATGATCGAGTTTTCAACGTGTAACGGGGCATTTCACTGATTCCTAACCATCCATCATTTTTTCAGGGAAATCCCAACGTCTGTCCCAGGCGCCCCTTTGATTTACGAGGCACAAGGCTGGAGCCAACCAAAGGATGGTTCTGAGTTATCGCCGAGCTAACTTCGACAGTTAAGTTCAGCCCGGCACATGTTACTGAGCATGTGCATTGACAATTGCAGTACTAGTGCCACCTATGGCAATTAAGAATTCACAAATAAACAACTTTTTATGTATTAGAGAGAGTAATTTCGCAATAAAGTATTGCAAAGGTTTGTAGTTATAATATTTGGCATAAATACCACTAGGGATGTTTCGAAATTGTTATACGTAATTTGAGACAATTTCGAAATATCACAAGTGGTACTTATGCCAAATACCACGTACAAATCATGCTATTATTTGTAATACTACTACCCACAAAAGGTTTGAAACTTTCGCACGTAGGTTTTCAAATTAAGCTGAAATACCACTGATCTATAAGGCAATCAAACCACAGAAGTAGCATAAATAGCAGAAGGAGGAGAAAGTTCATTGAGAGAGTCTTATCACTTGCCGTTGACTTGTCTTATTATGAACTACAATTTTGAAAAATAGCCGCCTTAATAAACTGTACGGGGCCCAACGTTTTACATAGAAATTAAAAGGCAATCAAACAAAATGAGGGCATAATTTGGAGGAGATTAAAACAGGTTAATTTTAAAAAACGTAGGACCTTATTTTTTTTCAAGTTTATCTCGAAGGTTAATTATGATTAACAGCGCTTAGGGATGAAGAGTGACTAGGATAACCGCATTGCCCAGAAATGCCGTAATAGACAATAAACTATTTAATACTGAGAGAAAGATTAGCTCGCTGTCGACTTTCCCAATAAATTCTACAGAGCAGTACATTTCTGTGATTCTCTTCTGGTTTCCTTCTGTTGTTGAATTAGCAGCTGCTACAACCCCCGCTATGCACTCCCAATACGTTCAAGTTTGCAATGGAAAGTAGCATAGTCTATTTCTTTTTTTGTGATGACCAAGATGCAAATAACTTCCTTGTCTACAACCTGTTAGTGTACACAAAACTAAACAGTTGAGTTCTGAGTTCTGTGACAGACAGCAATCTGAAACTGCGCGGGACTTAATTTGCGATCTTTTAGCGAATAATTGTACGATCTGCGAAAAAAAGGTTCCCGTAGTTAAAGAAACACAACCGAAAAAAATTGACTCCAAGGCTAAAAATAGACAGTCTCTCTCCCCGAAGATCTAAATTGCGGTTTGATATCGGCGATTCAAATAAACACAGTGCCGTAAAAGAGTGTGCGCGTGTGTGAATTAATTATAAATAATCACAAAGTACAACAGATTTGTTTTGATATCGGCAAGTCAACCCTTCTTATGGTCCCTAATGGAGTAGAACTGAAAAAATAATTGACACCAGTTCAGTTTATGTCTGTTGTCTTATTGGTGACAAAATTGCGCGATAACATTGTCCAAGTGTTGTAACTACTTATGAACGATTCTCAGTTAAATATAGAGGTGCTATGATATAGAACATTTTAACAAAAGGCTAGAAGTAAATTTAGCCATTCAATTGTTTAAAAGAAAATTGAAATGTTCTTGTTAAACAAAAAATATATTGACTCTTCATAGTGGAAGATACCTAATAGCTGTACTATTTTTACTGCTTAACAACATGTCAGGCCATCATATTCAATACGAATTAGTCCATCAGCTAAGAGCCGAAAATTTGAGGGGAACAGCTGAAACATGTCACATATTAATCTTTGACTATTAAGCATCACAACAATGCATGATAGCAAGAATAAAACGGTAGCTTTCGCTTTGAAAATCGAAATTTAACTTTGCCCCTCATAATCCCCCTCATAACAAATCTTGTTTTAGCGTAGATTTAACACATATTTGAACTAAAAACATGACTTCCGTTTATTCTAGTGCTTAAATTATAACTACCTGATGTCGTATGCGAATCAACATCGCCTGTTATTGGTCACTCAATAAGACGCGCAGTTCGCAATTTTTTTAATAACTAGAAAAAATTTAAGCTTTAGAAAATTGTTTCAGAAAAGAGTAAGTAAATGATCATATTTTTACATTGCAAGTGTATTGAATAGAGTCTCTTCTTGAAAACAATTTCTTAGTGGAGAACGTTATCCAGTCCATCCTCGGAAACCCAGGGGCAGTCAGTCGGGTTGGGAGAAAAGGCGGGACGAAAGTTTTCAAGTACGGGCAAAAGTGCCCCTGGGTACCGACTCTCACCGAGCTATTTCCAAAAATTCAAGCGGATCCCAGCTCCTGATTGGGCACAAAAAAATGTTTTGTATTATTGTGTCCAATCGGCGAACTGTTTCTCCTGAGTTCTTTTCGTGCGTTCGTACACGACGGTTATTGTCTTGATCGCGGCTTGTCTGGCTCATGCACCACAGAAATGCACGCAGTCAGGAAACTTTCAGTTTGATATAAAATCCCCAACTGATTTCAAAATACTGTCTGCCCGAAAACTAAAGACGCTTTTCCAAAAATACAAGCTTGAGCTTACAACAGGTATTCACCCTTGCATGGGTCACGTCTTGCGTAAATATTAGGGAGTTTTAAAAGATACCACGACGGCTGACAACCACGAAAACGTCGCATGGAAAAGGGAACTCACATTTTTTCAGTTTCTATCGTGATTATTTCAACTGGCTGAATTTCTATCAACCATATCTAAGTTCATGAAGGGAATGAATTTTGCCATTGCTTGTTCAGTAATACGCCTTCAAAAAAAACATGAAATTAGGCGTTTTCACGGGTAGTCGTGCAGTTGACGGCTGAGAAATGTACAAAAAGGGGTGATGCACGTGCAAAGGTGTTGTTTTGCCTTGTCAAGCTATTGCTTATTTGACTTTCTCGTCGTCGCCGCATCTTAAGCTTCCTATTATTTACAGTACATTGTGATGAATCAGAAACAAAAAATTCTCGGGGCAAATTGAATTGTTCCTGCTGATAGCATACCAAACGTTTTTTCAACTCATCGGTAGTTCCTTCGTTTGTGGTTAGGAAAGTAGAAAATAAAAGTTTTCCTTGCACGCACAAGCTTGCATGGTGAACGAACCGGGCATGTGAAGCAGGACAATAGCCGTCGTGTATGAACTCATGAAAAGAACTCACGAGAAACTGTTCGCCGATTGGGCACAATAATACCGAGCATTTTTTGTGCCCAATCAGGAGCCAGCACCCGCTTAAATTTTTGGAAATAGTTCTGTGAGAGTCAATACCCAGGGGCTCTTTCGCCTGTACTTGAAAACTTTCGTCCCGCCCTTTCTCCCGACACGACTGACTGCCCCTCGGTCTCCGAGGACGTATCCAGTCACGCGTCCATGACCGGAAACAGTTTCAGAGGTTTCAGCTGAATGTGACTTCCCCGTGAGTCTCATCAAAATCAAGGTAATGGCCGAAGTAAGTTCACCAACGAGAGAGATTTGCAACTTGCTAAGCTTGTCCACACAGAAGTGAGTGATGACTGACTGCCCTCCTCGGCAAGAGGAAACAGCCAGCGAAGGCTTTGTAATGAGCCGTTGCTCATCCAACCCCACGCTTTCTTTGATCCAGTGAAGAAAGCCGACGAAGGTGAAGGCTGTGCATAAGGTTCGCAACAAGGATCTAGTACTTCCTCTTGTGCTTGGATGGCACTGGGACAGTTCCGGCAAGCCGAGAACATAACCGGCAGTTTTGATGAAACGGCAGGCTACAGAAGTTGTAGATCTCCTCTGGAGCTATGTTCCATGTGGTCGCTTAGAGTAACTAACTTCGCGCAGCACGCGCGTAGACGTAGTGGTTGGCGTGTAGCCCGAGGTGTTGATCAAACATGTCAAAAGACTGAGAATAACGTCTACCGCTGACAGTGTACAACATAGGGATTTACTGCGATGCACTATGCTGTGAAGTCATGGAAGGAGCTGCTAAGTGCCAACACAAATAAGCTGAAATCGGCAAATTCCTTTTGCCACAGGGCAAAACCGAAGCATTTAGAAGCAGACTCGGCAACTGGATCATAGACTCCCGCTGTGACAATTGAAGACCAGTCGGGCGAGTAGACGCAGACACATAGTGGTCAGAGACCCTTTTCCTGGGGTACAGTTCCGTGACGAAGAGGTTGAAACGCGTATAATTGTTCTCAATGCACGGCATCTGCGCAGGAATGAAGGTGTGATGCACTCTGATAGTGCTTGTTCATCGCCAAAACTTGACTTTGAAAATGTGCTACATGAAAATGGGAAGAGGCGCGAACATTATATGCAACTCGACCCAGGCGATGTTAACCACTGCTTTATGAGGAGCCCTTATAGGTGTAAAGTCGAACACAGGCTGTGATAACATCTCTGCCTTCTTTGGTAAAGGGAAGTGGAAAGCAGTCCAGCTTCTTCAACCAGTGGAGGGTAGGTCCGAGTTATGGCGAGTATCTCAGGAAAGAGCGATCAGTATCCAATGAGAACTTTAAATTCACGGTACGGAAGCACCCATGTGTGAAATGTACGGAAAGAACTGGCATGGTCCCCCGCTACGAGATTCATCCCCAGCTTAAGGCTGGAAGGTCAAGCTGGAGAATCTGCCGCCATGCGAGTCATCTCTTTGACTTACAGGAGCAATTATCAAGCCTCAATGTGAAGAAGAACCATCTTTCTGCTCCCCTCTTTAGCACGTTACCATACAGTAGTTGCAACTCATGCTTATGAACCTTTCTTCAGCTTAAGATGTTAGGGCAGAAAATGTAATACATGTGAATCTATGTTTAGGTTAAATTTTCCAAACGCGAATTTCAGCAGTGAAGAATGGTGTTATGCGAATGATGTCAGTTATGGGATCACAGTGCTTTTGTTCTAAAACAAGCTCTAGACTAAAGAGTGGAGCACGTTTCTAGGTGCCTTCCCGTTCCGAGCTATTAATAACTCTCCCGACCAATCGCTGACGGCAACCCCGAACAGTTAAGTTCAGCTCAGCACATGTTAATGAGCATGCGCATTGACAATTGCAGTACTGCCACCTGTGCCAATTAAGAATTCACAAATAAACTACTTTGTATGTATTAGAGAGAGTAGTTTCGCAACTGCAAAGTTTTGACTCAGTAAAATATACCGAAAGCAACTAACAATTCATCTGCGATGAAGTTTGACTCAGTGTACGCAGGATTAAATTTCGCACTACTATTTTAAAAAGCAAAATTTTCACTAATAAATGCTTCCTTTGAGACAAACTGTACACTTTATATTTTTGTGAAAAGATGAATATTGTGGATGTCATTGATATTATCGCTTCATCTTCATCTCTCCCTGTTATATTATGAAACAATTTACTGAGCAGCTCCCAGCAGTTGGCTTGCTAACTCGATTGGTTAGAGCACTATGCGGGTATTGCATAGGCCGGAGTTCGAATCCCGGCAAAGCCTAAATTCTTCTGGCTTTCTTTTCTCACCTGCATAAGTTGTGTCTTTTACTGCGATAATCTCCTTACATTTATTCCGCATATTTTTTTATGTTACAAATCATCAGTATCATATATAAGTGTGCAGTAAATTGGCATTTATAATTTGCTTGGTGTCAAGACATAAGTTGACGGAGACGCATCAAAAAGAGATAAATAGTGCAGAAAAAAATGAGAAAATATATATATTAGTAAGATAAACCTAAAAATCGTTGCTAAGGTAATGACAAACGTTTGTAATGAGTCACTTTAATTTCTGCTCTTATCGTAGAAGGGGATTATCATAGTACATTCTCTTATGGTTCTCGAAAAGAAGCTACATATTAAATAATAAATACACGATAAAAAATAGTGTGTACTACACATATTGTACCCTGAAGTATTAAAGATTGATATTTTAAACGAAAAAAAACAAAAATGTTTCGATTATGTCCGTCTAGTACCTTTGAATAGATGTAACGATACAAGCATTGCATGGCATGGCATGGAATTCATTGACAAAACGAACAGCTCGAAAAATATCAAACCCACTAACAAGTCTGGCAATGTTTTCCGATGATGTCTTTGACGCAGGGACCGCGGAGCAATGTGAAAAGTGGGAGGGCTGACAATTGAAAATACTTTTTTCATATTGAAAATCGAAAAAAGGAAAAAAATCATAGTATTTGATTTGTTTCTGTCCCGTGACTTTGTGTACTTTATCCAGTATTTGTTTCTCGTTATAGGTCGGCCAACATACACGGTCAGTTCAGATTCAATTCAAGAAAAGACGCGATTACAATTTTAGTATAGAAAATACTACACTGAAGTGATCTGAAAAATTGGTATGGCCGTTCACTGTTCAAGAAATGTAATTCTTGTTGCCATCGAATATTTCATTGATTCGAAAGGAGAAAGACAAAATATAAAACTTTTATCAACTCAAAACAACTACTCACCTTCGTTTGGCTTGAAAAAGCTAGTAATTTTCTTCATTTCGTCTGATAAAACTGATAAAAAAACTCTGCCAGTGCTGGAAGTACAAAACACACTGCCGAACGAAGCGAAGGGGTGGCCAAGGCACGGCGTTTGATCAAGGGGCAAGTCGGCCCCAGAGCACAATTACCGCGAAAAACACGGGAGCCCCACAAGATGCCTCGCGTTTGAAATTAAAGAAAATACAGAGAATATAGCGGAATATAGACGGGAAAAACTTGTTTCAAGCCTTTTTTCATTTTAATTATTTTTCTTTTTAGCGCAAAAAGTGGAGGCGGGGGCGCAAAAAAAGTGGTGGGGCCGCGGCCCTACCAGCCCCTCCCCCTCCGCGGTCCCTGTGACGGTTTGCCTTACTTCTCTGATCTTCCAGCAGTAAAGCAGTGGGTTTAATGTTGACTTAAAGAATACTAGGGTAGCCGTAAATTGCCTGGCAAGGTAAATCTATGAAGGTAAATCTCTTGGGGGCGTTAAAGCTACCGTTATACCATAGGGAAAATAACAAACAACCAGTGTCACCTGCACCCACAATGCTGTGGACACTGCATTTCTGTATCGAGATATGTTCAGTGGAATTTCTTGGCTTATGTTTCCCAAGTCCCCTACTTGGTTTTGGTTACGATGTAAAGTGCAGAAAATTTTCGTGTAAGACAAAATTGAGGTAACTAGAGACAGAGATATACCCGTGTAGATAAACCAAGGCAACACCACTGGATTCAAAAAGTAGCTTGATGTTGCGACGATACAAAAAACCCAAACAACGATGACAGTTAAATATGTTCTTCGCAAAGTTACAACTTGCCTGTATTTCAACATCAGCAAAAGCGCGAGAAGTCTGTCCACGCTTATTGCTGTCGATGTCAACAGGGACACAGAGCACAAAATATGAGATGTAATGAAAGCTGTTAATTCTGTATGATAACAGATAGTCCACCCTTCGTTCACCGCAGACATCCAATTGGCAACATCTACAGGCTGCACAATGATACCAACACAGAGATCAGCTATCGCCAGGTTACGATACAGGAGTTTGGATGGAGGATGAAGCGAAGATTCCTTGTGAAGAGCGACTAAGATAAGCGCGTTACCCAAAAACGCGGTAATAGACAATAAACTATTTAATGACTGAGAGAAAGATTAGCTCGCTGTCGACTTCCCCAATAAATTCTGCCCAGCAGTACATTTCTGTGATCCTTTTCTGGTTTCCTTCTGTTGTTGAATTGGCAGCTGCCATTACTCACGCTATGTACTCCCAGTACGTTCAAGTTTGTGATGAAAACTAGCATAATCTATTTCTTCTTTTCTGATGACCAAGATGCAAATATTCCGTTTTGTCAGTCATACTGAGATTGCTAACTAGCTTGCAATAGGTTCCTGATAACTTCCTTGTCTACAACCTGTTAGTGTACACAAAACTAAACAGTTGAGCTCCGAGTTCCGTAACAGACAGCAATCTCAAACTGCGACACGGGACTTAGTTTGCGATCTTTCAGCGAATAATTGTACGATCTGCAACATGTTTTCTGTTCAAACGAAGATGACTTAAAATAAATTGCGGTTTGATATCGGCGTTTCAAATAAACTCAATGTGGTAAAAGGTGTGCACATGTGTGAATAAATAATAAATAATAATAAAATAAACAGTTTTGTTTTAATATCGGCAAGTCAACCCCTTTTTTGGTTCCTGAATCGAGTAGAACTGAACAAATAATTGACACCAGTTCAGTTTATGTCTGTTGTCTTATTGGTGACGAAACTGCGCCATGACATTGTCAAGATGTTGTAACTACTTATGAGCAATTTTCAATTAAATAATTATAGTCTGATGTGCTATGGTATAGAACACTTTATCAAAAGGCTAGAAGTAAATTTAGCCATTCAATTGTTTAAAAGAAAATTGAAATGTTTTGTTAAACAAAAAATATATTGACTCTACATAGTGGAACATATGTACAATACGTTTTAGGTCATGCAGCCGAGGATAGGAATCAAATCCGAACTTCCAGTTGGTAGATAAACTATCCTGGATCAGTCTACATGAACTTTTACAGTCGTGATTGATTAATAGATCGTTTTCACTGTCACGCAACAAAAAATACATTGGAAACCGTCCTGTGGAAGAAGCCAAGAAAATGTAGTGTTATAAAAGACTAATATATAAACAATTTGTCCAAGTCTCAGGTCTTTGTGGCCCTCAGCAGTTTCTGAGTAATTTGCCGAAACGTTTCACGCACCTTTGTACAGCCTGGAGCCGCCATAGTGGTGTACAGTTTTGGTGCACCAATATGGCCGCCCGAAATCAACAAAAACATCTGGAGTTCACTTTTTCTATAAAAGCTCTTTCTTTTCAATCGAGAACTAGCATACGTGTGCATAAACATATCTTTTAATACCTCAAATGGTTATACTGCTACAAATCGAGAGGAGAGACTTTTTTTCAACGAGACAGCATTCCTATTTTGGTGTCACGCGCTGTGAAAACTTTGAAGTTCAAATGCTGTATTTTCGAAATGAAAAATACTACGGTAATGGAAACTTGTAAAAAGAGATTTATTTTTTGTTTATCTTCAACCTAGGGTAAATAAGAATTCCTAAAACTTCGCTATTTTGACTTTACAATTTGATGACGTCACTATGAAAACCATCTAAACATTAGTGAAAAATAATAAGGGGGAGGGGAAGGGGGGCTTATTAACTTGCTTCCCCTGAAAATTAGGGGGAGCTTATTAGAGGAAGGGGGGCTTAATTGAAAGGGGGGAGTGGGCTTAATAGAGGATTTACGGTAGTACGTATAGAGAACAGTATCAGCAAATAACTTATCATTTTGAAATTGAGGTTAGGATCAATGTCACTGAAAAAAGGGGTTCTAGGACGGTACCTTGAGAGATGCCAGAGGTGACATTGAAGACAGGAGGAATTTTTACCCGCAACCTTAATGCACTGATTGCGGTTCAACAGAAATTTCTCAATCCAACGCAGACTAATGATAGCGATGCCATAATAATTAGGCCTGATTAGGAGTCTCTGGTGGGGGACTATGTGGAAAAATTTAGGAGAGTCAATCTAGAGTACATGCATCTGTCATGATCCGCTCATCCAGTGAAGACAACTAGATAAGCTGGGTTTCAATAGAGAAGCCTCTCATGAAGCCATGGTGAAGAGGATTTTGTGGTTGATCTCTTATAGTATAGACAAGATATGCGCCAAGGAGATTGGCCTGTAGTTTTTTGTATTTTGGCGTAAACTAATATCTTTTTTCTTGAATTCAGGACAAGCAAATGACATTTTCCATTCTGTGGGGAGGTTCCACTTTCATTACTCTAGAATTGCTTGAAATTATTTTCGTGCACATTTTGCAGGTAAAGTCTTCAGTGCCCGGGGTGATATTTTATCAGGGTTCGTCATAATCTCGTACCCAGATCTCCCACGGCCAAGGGAAAGGGAGATCTCTCAATTTTCAGCGTAAAACAGAGTGAGATCTAGGTACAAGATTAGGTCCGTCATTGAGTGATGTCTTCCCTCATTCAAGAATGCTAATTGAAAGCTGACCAATGACAGGGGCAGGTGGGGTAAGCTTAAGTATCTTCGAAAGTGAAAACTGGTGAGAAGTGCTTGTTTACAATCTTTGTGTTTTCTTCATAGTTTTTGTTGTAAATGAAAAATGGACCTCTCGACTCATTAGCCAAACTGACCTTATTTTAGAAAAAGCTGTCCGTTGCAACCTAAGTCATTTGGTTCGTTGATATTGCCTCTCGATGTTGTCCATTTTTCGTGAAATTTCACAGTTACATGCATATAAACTACTACATGAGAAATTTCTACAATTTGATGATTAGCTCAGAGCAGTGGGATTTCTGCTTAACTTGAAATATCTACATGTGAAAATTACAAACCTTTTGCGGGTAGTAGTATAAACAAACAATAACATGATTTGTACGTGATATTTTCGAGGGTGGAAGCGGAAACTTGAATATTGAATATTGACTTTAGCTTTAATAGTTTGAATATTTGAAAATTTAGTTTGAATATTTGAAAATCTAGTTTAAATATGAGTAAATGTACTTGAATAATGAATCTTTAGTTTTCTAGAAAATTCACTTATTCCTTATACGAAGATCATGTGAAATATGCTCATAAAATAACCTGAGATAACCATGAATGCAGAAACACGCTGCTTTTCTATTGGATTGTGTATAATTTACATTGATGAAGCACTGTTTTGTCATGTTTTGACACTGTTTATATTTTGTTTTTCTGTAACTACTCTCACTTTGAAAATTAGTTGGGGATTAGCGCCATCAGACTGGGCCAATGTTTGTAACCAAGTCAAGCCTTTTTTCACCAACGTTTACCACTTGAACAGATAATAGTCTCTTACAATGTAACTAGGGGCATGTTTTGTTTATAATTTGATATTTTCTGAACGAACTCTGCCTTTAGGTAGTACTCATTGCAAAAAGGAGTACATTGTGTCTTGGTAGGCTGCAATAACGGAAGTGGCTCTTATAGAAAAACAATGAGTAATGAGGAAGGTGATAATTGAGAATGCCAATGGGGTTAGCGGTTAACTGATATTTGGCCAAAAAAACAGTAGTTAACTGATAATTGGCGGAAAAATTAGTAGTTAACTGAGAAATGAAAAGTTCACAGTGAAGTGATGACATCCCATTAATTATACTGAATACAGATTGTTGATGTTACGAAAGCAACAAAGTTTTGCAAACAGAAATGCTATATTTTCTGACTTTTTTCTGTCCCGCTGATGACCCGTTGACACATTAACTGATGTTACTATGCGCAAAAGGCACCAGGGCAGTACTCGGCAAACAGAGAGCGTAAGTCATAGAGCTGCTTGTAGACAACTCAACGAATAATTCGTCTTCTAATACTAACAAGATTTTGGTGTTCGGAAAAGGAAAATACTCTTTTCACGGACCCAAAAGATCGTCAAGTTAAGCATTTACTGCCCAAAGAAAAAAGCTGCGACTCTTAGCATTACATCTGGCCAAAAAGAAATTCTGATGGTTCAAAGAAATCCCGTTCGGGTGGGGGGGGCGGTACTTCCTTGTAAGAGGCTAATGGGGATGTGCTGCTGGATGGGGTCGCATTTTCACGACTGGATTGACAATAATGGGATTGCATTGTCCACAGAGTTACTAGAATGGGCTCGCACATTTTCGGATTTTTGGAGTGAGAAGGCTTCATATTTACGGTTAGCAAACTTACCTGTTTAAAGGATTGATAAGGTAGGTAAATAAATAGAAAGTGACTAAGTTGGGAAAGCGAAAATTACATTTGCATGCCCAGTGGGGTCTATAATTGGCCATAGAGTAGACTATAATGGGGTAGGGGCTCTGAGAGCACATACCCAGCAAATAAGTATTTTATTTCAAAAGCGCATTGCGTGTTTCAAAAGCGCAAGAAAAACGTAACATTGAGGGACGCGAAAGAGGATGTCGACAAAGTCTGTATCAAGATACAAAAACACGCGGTTTCTCTCTTAAACACAAAACATTTAGTGCTTTGAACTATGCCCAAGACTTTGGAACCACAGTGACGGAATCGCTTAAAAGAACGAAGAATTCGAAGTGGGCTATTCTCGGTTTTCACTGTCACGGAATCAAAAATAAAATTGCAAACCATTCGATACAGAAAGTCCCGAATCTTGGAAATAAAAGAAGATAAATAAGCAAAAGACCTTGCCAAGAATCAGGTCTGTGCGATATTTCATATGCGAGATATTAGGAAAAACGTTTTACCCAAATTTATAAAGCATTGTATGGAGGCGCCATGTTTGTGGGTCGTGACTAGAATGGATACTCCAAAATCAGGTATCCGCTCGGAGACTGGAACTGAATAAAATTATTTTTCGGCAAATCACTCCGACTCTTCACGACCTTGTTGTGTGCAACGAGATAAGTATACAAAGACTGAAAAAGGCCAAGATGCGAATG